CTGATTGGTACTCCTAGGTCTTCTAATGGTCCTCTAACTGATGTCATCTGGTAATTAAACCCGTAACCAATCAAATCTCTGCGAACTAACACTTGATAAAAAGAATAACAGCCTACATTTCAAAAACGAAGGCATGCTAAATCGTTAAAAGGATGATTGAGGAGCGGTTTTCACAAACAAATGATGAACGCACTGAGGAAACACAGGATACCCAGGTCTTAAATAATGATATTTTTCAAATAATAGGTAAGACATTCCAATGTTCATTCGAAAGATATCAAGAAATATGAAGGAGAGAAGCTATAATGAATCAAATGAGTTCAGAAGTGTGGAAGTAGTAATTCAAGGACTGGACATACTTCGTATGGGCACAAAGATCAGGCTTGAATACGTAACTGCCAATAACTTGAAATTCATCAACGGCAGAAGACGAAAGACTTGGTAAAGGAATGTTTATTTACCATTTGATATCTCTATATAGCCAAATTATGTACACCTTATCTTCAACGCACCATTTGTTGTACTACTCCTGGCATTCCTCAACATTGTGTTTCTTTGTGTTCCTTTCCCGTCTCCCATGTATCTCCACAACGCTGTATCATTTGCTTTCTCTGACATCAGATCTATTTCCCTGCTATTTGATGTTTTTATGCCAATAAACATCTCTTTATATATATACTACTGATAAATTGTATCAGTAGCACACACCACAATGGGAATGCTGCAATCCCATATGAACGACTCACCCTGACATTGTAGACAATACTGAAAGAGCATTCAGATGAAACATTGCGGCCAAAGTTCACCATATGATCAAGAGTCGAGCTACGGATTGACTTGAACTATTCTCGCGATAAGCATGCAAAACAATGCACAAAGACAGAGCACACGCTTTGTGCAGCCTAAACGACAATCTCCACAGGTGTAGGTGAAAGCAGAGAAATGAAACGCCTACTTTTTGCCATGTAATGGATGCAAAACTAATTAAGAGAAAAAAAGTTGACATTCTTTTTATGAAGTATCGTTATGTGAAGGATAACTGTGTCGACTGACTTTACACCCACTAACTTGATGCAAATCAATAAAGTGAATTACCGAGTGATTCTGTTGCAGTTTTCTGATTTTGTACAGTAACTGGGAAAATAAACTTCAAAATATACTAAATGGGTAAAATGAAACAACACTTAAGCAAGGACTACGGGGCCTGGTATTTAGAGCATCCATTTGAAATGGAAGTAGCAGGTGCATCTCCTGAGAAAAAGGATCGTTTCAGCTTACCCAAGCCGTCAGCCGGAAAACATGGTATCAGTGAGAGTTTTTAAGGCCGATTGTATGCCGACCAGCTACCTGCAAGGATCCCTAAAAACGCTGAACTGAACACTATAAATAACAGTTTACCTGACAAACAGATTTGTTTAGCCCCAGTGTGAAGTATTGTTACAAGATTGACAGGTGTGCCCTCAATGATTCTCCTAGTTCAACTATTATTTATTTAGTCGAAACGTTCATGTGTATGGGAACTAGTGAGTGCTAAGGACGTGCAGAGTGGAATCCCTATTCTGAAAACCAAAGGGACATGTCTAGTAACTGAACAAGATCTCATACCCATTATCTATGTATTGGTGAAAACCAGTGAGACTGACCTGAAAATTAGTCATAAATACCACATGATATGCAAGGGTGTCTTTTGGAAAACAAAAAAGCAAACCAACAAGAAAATAGCTCATAAACAACCTGGCACAGCCGAGTGTGGCTACACTTCAGTTTCCCTCTCCAAATGCTCTTGTGTGTGACTACGAGTTCATGATCTGTGCTAAGTAAGTACTACTCAGTATGTAACGACAGAAGACAAGGGTCAGGCAACAGATCTGTTATTGAGAAAATCAACAGATATTTATAGATTTTAATCTACATTACTATTCGTTATTGTTAGCAGAGAAGCAATGTCTTCTGATTGGTTGTTTTCTTGCTGAAGGTTATTCTGTCATCTCCTTGTTGCCGTTTCTTAAACAGTTCGGTGCTATATCTGCGAATCGTATCCGCCCACGCTAAGTCCACCGTGATTAGTTGTTGAGTTCCTCAAGGTTAGGCTTCGTTCTTGTTTTCTCTCCTGACCCTAATTCGGGACGTAAACACTGACGTAAACTGTTGCATACAATTTTGGCTTGCAGACAGCTCGTAGCTACACGATGTACGGGGTGTTTCTCACAAAAGTGAGAGTGAGAATGTCCGGCGCCTACAACTGGACTAGTGGACATGAAGGTCCACTCACAGCAGCTGAGAAACCCTGATTCCAACTAAACCTATGGTGTAAATGGGCTCCAGAATCCGAAAGGATATAAATATATGCCACCTGGATCCATGGAAACGTACCTTCTGACGCTGCTTCACTGCCTTGTGGATCAGAATTCAAGTCAAAGCCTCAAAAGTGACACCCCTTAGGACAACCACCCGCTTCAGTTTGGGCGTCTGGACAGCCGTGGCACAAACTATGGGATTTCTTGCAGAGCATTTTTTTCATGCCCCTAATGTACCAAGTTTCTGCTTCAATAATAATAAAACAGGAAAATGAACAAGAGAATCATTTTTCAAAGTGTTTTTTTGTTCCTTTACGTTCCCAGTGGAACATAGGGCTTCAGGCTACAGCCTTGAAGTTCCGGTAGCGGTGATGTTAATTTTCACAGGGTGAAGTTGCTTGCCTCACAACCAACCTTCCCTCTTTGCCAGCACTACTACCGACTTAGCGAGGTTTAGGAGTTCGTCGGCCAGCGGTCGAACCCCGGACAGCATGCGTGGTTGGTGAGCGTTCCACCACTGAACCACCGAAGCACAAGTACTAACCAGGGCCCAATGTTACTTAACTTCGGTGATCGGACGAGAACCGGTGTTTTCAAAGTAGTATGGTTTCAGACAGTAGACAGATCATTATATCAATCAGCAGAGTGCCACTTAAAGAAAGAATTGCAGTAATTCAAAAATCCCCTTAAATCAAATAAAAACACTATTAAAAGGGATTATTAATTTGATCTATATTGGAACACTTTCAGGGGAAACCAGTTAGTTAGCTACTAAATGTCATGACATAGTGCTCCATATCTCAACCCATTGTACATACCACAACCCCTTAACATCTCAGGGGCCTACACTGAAAGTATATTAATTATTAGGAGGGAATAAGAAATAAACCACATGACGTTGACTTGAGTTACACTAAATCAAATAGGAATTAGTGATAAGAAATCGATATTCACTACTTTTTCTTAATGACGAGTGTCAATTAATGTTTATAAACACTGAAACTTTGCAATAATATAGAGCAATGTGAGTGCAACTACTAGACCGAGTATATCACTATTATTTTAACCGCTGAAGAGAACGAGGAAAGAACTGACTTTTACTACTATATTAATATGTAATTATTCCCTTAGGTTCCAAGTGGACCATAGGGCTTCAACGGCATGCCTACATTTCACCCTGTTCTCTGAAGGCCTCTTTAGCTAGCTCCAGGATTGTCCATAGTCTCTCATCTCCTCCATGTCACCTTCGGATATACGCCCAACTCGCCTTTTCCTATCCTGATTCCCCTCGAGCGATAGCCTAGTAGGTGATGCCACTTAACGCTCTTCTCAGCGTATAACCGATCCGTCTCCATTTTCTTCGGAATATTTATTGGAAGACAGGTTCTTGGTTGGTTCCTTCCACTGCAGAGTTCCGTGTTGTTAATCCCCTCTGGCCGGCAGTCTGATCTTCAGTATGGAGACAGCGAAGGCAACTGTTGATAAGAGATTGCAGAAGCCCCTTCCAAATGCTTTTGGCGCCGCATGTTCCAAGTTTTCAAACTATATACAGGAACTGACTGACTTAACATTTGTGTCAAAAATCCGAAACTTGTTCTCTATACTGCCTGAGTGGAGAAGATTTCCAAACTGGTTTCAGGGTGATGGAGGCGTATATCTTACCTTTCCGATTCTGACTGTCTTTGAGATTTTCATCTGTGCTGACTGCCTGTAGTTGAAGCGATACTTTCTAGTGGATAAGTGAAAGAAGTTACCTTGTCCAAATTTTTACCGCTGATAGTAATTGTTGCTTGTTGGTATTAGATGGTTGGAGGCAATCGGAAGGAAGCCCAGCCTTCGACCAAGGTTTCGTGCTAGTTCGGACTCAACAGTCAGCAAGGCGTATCTGCAACCTTGAAGGAACTCATGTACCTTCTGAAATTCGAACCCACATCACCCAGTGCTGCAGTCAGAGACCACTGAGCTATTTAGGCTCGCGACTGACCTCCTGTAGGACTGTATTGGATATTTTTGATTGCACACTAGTCAGTAACTAGTGTAATGTGTGCTTGTGTCTAGTCCTATCTTTGGTGTAGACTGAATTCTATCAGTCAAGCTTGCAATGTGGCCACCATGCTAGGTGTCTCGCCATTACGGTGAACTGTGAAATGTTGGTATAAGATGAGTCCCAACTAGCACAAAACCTGGGTCTAAGGCTTCCTGCCGATTGCCTCCAACCATCTAATACCAACAATTCACAGCGCACCGCGTAATGGCGAGCCACCTAGCATGGTGGTCACATTGCAAGCTTGACTGATAGAATTCAGTCTACAGCGAAGATAGATAGGACTAAACGCCTTACACTAGTTACTGACTAGTGTGCAATCAAAAATATTATTGCTTGTTTTTGTTGGTTGGTTATCATCATCCCCTCCGTCTTCGCTATGTTCACTTGAATTCCTGTCTACACAGACTGCCTCTAGACACTGATCGTCTGCCAAGTCCGGATCTTCTAGAGTCTCCTATAAAACCGCATTCATTAAGGGAATTAATAAAAAAGTTTTCTATCTAACGGAAGACAATAATGAAAACATATTAAATATAATATTATAATTAAGTGGCACTGGCTTGACAACTGTTTTCAAAAATGGAGTATATATATATATGTTTATATATAAATTAAATTAAGTGCTTTTTTATGTACAAATTATTCTGAGTGAAAAATCAATAGTCCTTGAAATGACTAAATGCATAAAGAGCTGCTCGACCATCACATTGTCCAACACACATAAATCGACCGCCAGGACTAAATCCAACCGATGTCGGTTTCTTTAAAGCGCCAACTCGAACAGGGAAGTTTTCAAAAATAAGACCTTCGTTCACATGATACTACAAAACAAAAAATATATACAAGAAAATCAAAAACATTGTAACAATATTCGGTAAATAATTTTTTCAATTTCTAACCAGGGATTGATACCAGTTAGAGAATCATTGAAAACCAGCAGAGGGAACTGGACAGCTGTTTTGCACTAGTCTGGGACTCGCCAGCAATGTGGGCCACAGACAGGGTTAGAGTCCAGAACCTTCTGATTACAAGTCAAGCTTGTAGACCATTTAGGCACTGGGATTCGACTTAACAGTCCATGAATTCTAAATTCTACCAACTCGTGGCTTCAGCGCAACCACTAACCAATGTCATTCGTGAGTTTTTGTCCTCAATCCCAAACTAAGACGAAACAGTCGTCCAGTACTCCCAGCTACTTTCCAATGGTTCTCCAGCTGATATCAATCCGTGATCAAACTTGATTCCTTACAAACTAAATCTCGAAGATTTTTCCATACATTTGAAATACAGCGACAGTTGTGGCTTTCTCATTTTACTTTGTTTCAAAGTATCATTCAGAAAAGAAAAAGGATTAAATCCAACTCAATAACAACATTTACATTATAAAATGAGCCATGTCTCTACTGTACATGAAGGCACATTATACGTCATGTCTTGCACAACCATCGTCATTTCTGTTACTCGCTGGACGGAGAATCAAATCTGCCTACTCTATCCTTACACCTACGAATCTATTAAAATCACTTTACACTATGAAAAGGGTATATTATACCGAAGATATTAATTTATTTTTTTAAATAAACATAAAAGCCAGCTTCGAACGATTACTTTGACTTATGTACTGGACCTCATAACCATATTAATTACGTGAGATTTGAAAGATTCAGTTTATTCACTTAATCAGTCTACAAAGCTCTCTAATCAAGTGGTACAGCGTGTTGACCACAATTTGACTTATTTGGGGAATTACGCCAGCCCCAACAGATTGATTGCTCACGAAATCTCACCACAGATACAGAAGGCTCGTTTAGCATATGCCCACCAACTTACGCCATCTCTGGCTTAGTAGAAGTGATATCTAGCTGTCAACCGAAGGGCATACGTACTGCTCCACAGTTCACTCTGTCCTGCTTTATGGCAGTCAGATATGACCATTGAAAGTGGAAGATAGGAAAAGGCCGGCTAGCTGTTTTTGATCATAGGTGCGCCTGCGTTCCATCTTCCGTGTAAAGTGGTACGATGAAGTAAGTCATTTTGAAGTTAGGCTTCGGTCGAGTGCTAGGTAAGACGGGAGGCGAGGGGATTCAATTGACGCGGTTGTGAAGTTATACCGATTGAGATGGTTAGGACATGTATTACGCATGCATGCCTAGCCATCGCCCTCCTGGATGGGTGAGGTTAGCTAACTGACATAGGATTAGCTCTTTTCCAAAGTGATCCTATGCCAGCAGCTAACATTGCCCGTTGAAGAAGGCGATGGAGAGGCATCCATGCGTAACACATATCCTAACCATCTCAGTCGGCGTAACTTCACAACCTCGTCGTTTGATTTCACCTCCTTACGTAGCACTCAACCAATGCCTCACCTCAATATTCCTCACCCTATTGTAACAAAAGAAGGCAAGCCACGGGAGCCAAGGTTTATTTTTCATCAATCAAACAGCTATTTATTTATATACAGTTTATATTCGTTAACCAATCACCGAGTGTGATTTCGGTTTACATCAAGCAACATGAAATAGAATGTCCAAATATACATCGTTTTCTTTTTTTAATGCAGTATATAACTGTGGGAAATGTATTCTATCTAACATCAAATCGAACGTTCAAATACATATATTGTAAACAGTATTGAATTGTGGGAATATGTGAGCATAACATTCCGTCCGCAAACATTGTCTGTATTGCACCACCACACTATTATATCACTTCATGGACTGGTGCCATGTTTTGGATTCGACTGCCGATGGCTCTTCTCCAGCCTGACTTTATGTCTGCTAACATTGCCCGTCGAGGAAGGCGATGGCTAGGCATGCAGGTGTAACACATGCCCTAACCATCTCAATCCACGTAATTTCACAGCCTCGTGTATTGATTTCCCCTCCTTACCTAGTACTCGACGCCTAACTTCAATATTGCTCACCCTATTTTACCACTTCACACGGGAGATATAAGGCAGGCACCTATGATAAAAGACGGTTAGCCTTTTCATGTCCTCCACTCTCAATGGCCAGGTCTCACAGCCGTAAAAGAGGACTGAGCGGACTGCTGAGCACTACATACGCCTTTTGGTCGATAGCCGGATATCACGTCTACACCAGAGATAGCGTAAACCCGCATATGCGAAACAAGCCTTCTGTATCCGTGCTGAGATTTCGTCAGCGACCAACCCGCTGGTACTGGCTGATGCAACTTGCTAAATAAGTGAAGTGGTTGACGCGCTCTACCACTTTACTCCCTGTCTTTAGTCAAGGAATCAATGCAGTCCAGTCCTGTAACATCATCTTACAGTTGACGAGGGGAAGAGAATCGCATCGCAGACAGTCACAGATTGCAGCTCAAGGTGTTCGGAAGAGTTTGCATTTTGCCAGCGTCTTCACCTAGGAGGACTATATTATCTGCATATTCCAAGTCAGCAAGATTATTCCTTGGTAATAAGTCAATCTCTGAGTCGCTAAAGTCGCTTAGAGTCAAGTCCATTAGTACAGATAATCTACAATTAAAGAAACTATAAGTACCGTCATCAACACTTGCTAACAGTAAGATTGTTGTGAGCGACTTACGCATCAAATTTTATTACATAAAAGTAATATTAATTCTCAGCTTCTATCGATTTTACATACAGCTAACGTTGTTAATTATACATACACATAACTATATATAATCATGCTGATAAATTACATAGAACCTACCAATCGAATAGCGTCTGGACGTTGTGATGAAGCAAGACAAAGCATTTCATTTGATGGATGGAAACATAAAGAATCCACTCCAGTGACTAGATTGTCTATCGCCTTTTCAGGCTCTGGATTATGTGTATTCATTGTAGAATTCCATTTATAGACATTGACAAAACCACTGTCTGATCTATTGAATTTAATTATATTATTATTAAGAAAAGCACATTGAATATATAAGAGAATCAGGAAAACTGTGATCCACATGAAAACGTATAAAGGCAACTGAAATAATGAAGTTATACTTAGAATAAGAAATTCAAGATGATTGTGATTACTCAACTCAGAAGTGAAACCTCAAAATTCTGTTCTAACATCGAATCTGAATTTAGTTTACGTTGTGGTCTGGAAATAAATATCATTGGTCAACTTTCTCTCTCATTGTTTAACCTTGGGTGAATTGCGAACCAATTAGAACAGTTCATTGTTCGCTAACCTAGCCTATTTTTAATGAGGTTAAGAATGTATTTATACGATGCGTTTTGCCTCAATAAAACAGTCTGTGACCAATTTTCTTATCTTCTGCTGGTACATAGACTTTCTTCGATATATAATTAAATTTGACAACAGGTGCTGAAACTATCTGTCTCCCCTTTACAAGGTAGTCTGATTCAACGTAAGATGAGAAGACCAAGCTAACTAGCTTAGGTACTATTATTGAAAAACCAGGATAACTCATATTCAGGAAAACTGATCAAAATATCTTTAGAATACGAAGTCGAATCAACGCCGGGTTAGAAACTACATACCGAAGACTACTAAGTAGAACTCTAACTTAATTCTCACGAGGCCGTTTGTTAAAATTCTGTAGCTAATTAAGTGTTCATTTCACTTTGCATCTTCATCTGTAACCCCATACAGATGACACTGAATAAACTTTACATCCAATTTAGAACAACACATTTAAACGAACAATATTGTTTTCAATTAGATCTCATCAGGCTTAACTCTAATATACCTACATAAGTTTACAAATAAAAATTCAATTATAAACCAATCATGGTATACTGTCAAAAGGATAATACGATGGTGAATATAAATTGTGCAATTAGTCATAGTAATAGTAATAATAATAATAATGGTCTTATCAATAATAAGGATGAAAAAGTGAGGCAATCTGTGATAACACGAATAATGAAAAAACAGTATTATTAAACAAACAAATGTTCAGGTGGAAGTAGTCGACAAAGGCTAGTAAAAACAAATGAACCGATTAAGCAATGTTAGATTGTAAGGGAAGGAAATGAAACACGTTTATAATGAAGATGTGATAAGATTAAGGGATGATAAGAAAGGGGGTGGAAATATAAACAAAGGGTTGTGTAGAAGTCATTAGTTGGTTATGTCTTAATAGGCCAAGGGAGGGATAATGGCTGTACGAACTTTTTTTGAATACATAGTTTCGGTTTAATAGTTCGAATGCCTGTCACCTCAGCTGTGTGCAGTAAACGAATACGAAGTCTATTGGAAAGATTCGGTGGGATACGATGAATCACTTTGAAGGCTCTCGTTTTCTCGATTACATGACCACTATCAATTAAGTGTGACAAAATTGAGCTACGAATTGTTTTTGTCTGTCCTTTGCCAAACCACGATGGGAGATGTTCACTAACACGTTGGCTAAGCTGTCTAGTAGTACGCACAATAGAACTGTCACCGCAGGTGCAGTTGAACTGATAAATGCACATAGATGTGGCAAAACTATCAAGCTTATCTTTCGTTTGCGTCCCAATCATTCGTCGGCTAAAGAATGACAAACATAGGTGTGCTGCATAAAATGTTCTTCGTATACTCCTTGAGAGTCTTTGGAATAGAATTTCCCTTGATAAGTCACCATTAAATTGTAACTTAATAAATAGAGGTTTCTTACGTGCAGTCAGAGTCTCCGGTTTTTTCTCTGATGTTTTCATATGTTTCTTTATGAAACTACTCGGATAGCCCATCTCCATCAAGGAATCGTGAATATATTCAAATTCCTTTTGTAAGAGGTCATCTGTACATATCTTTCTTGCTCTGCTCGCAAGACATTTTACAACATTCCTTTTATATTTAATGGGCACGTAACTAAGGAAGTGTGTGTATTGCCCTGTGAATGTGCTTTTTCTATACACGGTTCTCCAAAGTGACTCATCTTCTCTCCTACTTAGCAAGACATCCAGGAAATAAAGTTTGTTCTGCTGCTCCTCTTCACAAGTAAAGGTAAGCGAAGGGTGGATGTTGTTGAATTTCAGCAACAATTCGTCTATGTTAACATTCCCATCAGCTAAGATCAATGTATCATCGACATATCGGTAATACATACCAAACTGCTTGATGATATCCTTCAATTTCCCGTTTTCAAGTTTTGCGAGAAAAAAGTCAGCTAATATTGGGCCTAATGGTGAACCCATAGCTATTCCATCTACTTGTCGACAGTATGAATTATTGAAGACAAAGTGAACATTCATTGTGCATTTAAGAAGTAATTCTTTGAGGCTACACAAGGGGATTCCTAAGTCTAATTGCCTTTCGGCGATTTCTTGACAAATATAGTCTACTGTTTCCATAAGCGGTACATTAGTGAATAGTGATGATACATCCATGGATAACATGCGTTTATACCTCACATTAGTCTCGGATATTTTAGAAATAAAGTCGAAGACATCACTAATTCTATGTTTCACGATTTCTCTCTGCAAAGGACCCAGAATCTTCACTAACCACTTCGCTGTTCCATGAAATGGAGAGTTATACATATCTAAAACAGGGCGAAGAGGAAGACCCGGTTTGTGAACTTTTGGTAGACCGTAAAGACGTGGAGTATTGGTACCCGTTGGTTTCATGGACTCATACGTGGTTGATGATAATACTCCTATTTGGTTCAGTTTTTTGAGGGAGTCGGTCATTAGTTTCTCCGCTCTTACATTGAGGTCTTTGGAAACACCAAGAGATTGGAATTTAGTTTGATCACTCAAAATACCTTCCATTCTCTCAACATAATCGCTTTTGTCCGGTAAAACTATACCATCACCTTTATCCGGCTTGCTAATAATTAAGCCTTCGTTGCTTCTAAGTTCTCTTAGAGCTTCTCTGTGTTGTTTAGATAACAGATCATTTACTGAATGTCTATTATTGTTGTATTGTTGGCAGCTGTCAACTAGCGTCGTTTTGAACATCAATTGTACTTCCTGAGGTAAATCATCAACTGAAATTTGATTTACTTCAGGAAGTACAATTGATGTTCATTGAATATGTTAATAACGTAACAGTAAACAGAAGTAATAATAAAAGGATAAGTCTTGTCAAATCTCTCAAAAGGCAAAAGCTTGAAAGGAAATTTCCGTCAGTTCCGGGACGGTACGTTCACAATTTTTCCAGTGTCGTGTTTAATAAGTTTCAATTGGAGGTGTTATCCCTAGGTCCCAAATTTAGTGATTATGCTCCTAAAGTTGACCAATTAGACACGGATATACAGTTTGAAAATTTGTATTCCCAAACGTCACATCTTACCCCATCATCGGACGATGAACTAACTAGGTTCAAAACGACGCTAGTTGACAGCTGCCAACAATACAAGAATAATAGACATTCAGTAAATGATCTGTTATCTAAACAACACAGAGAAGCTCTAAGAGAACTTAGAAGCAACGAAGGCTTAATTATTAGCAAGCCGGATAAAGGTGATGGTATAGTTTTACCGGACAAAAGCGATTATGTTGAGAGAATGGAAGGTATTTTGAGTGATCAAACTAAATTCCAATCTCTTGGTGTTTCCAAAGACCTCAATGTAAGAGCGGAGAAACTAATGACCGACTCCCTCAAAAAACTGAACCAAATAGGAGTATTATCATCAACCACGTATGAGTCCATGAAACCAACGGGTACCAATACTCCACGTCTTTACGGTCTACCCAAAGTGCACAAACCGGGTCTTCCTCTTCGCCCTGTTTTAGATATGTATAACTCTCCATTTCACGGAACAGCGAAGTGGTTAGTGAAGATTCTGGGTCCTTTGCACAGAGAAATCATGCAACATAGAATTAGTGATGTCTTCGACTTTATTTCTAAAATATCCGAGACTAATGTGAGGTATAAACGCATGTTATCCATGGATGTATCATCACTATTCACTAATGTACCGCTTATGGAAACAGTAGACTATATTTGTCAAGAAATCGCCGAAAGGCAATTAGACTTAGGAATCCCCTTGTGTAGCCTCAAAGAATTACTTCTTAAATGCACAATGAACGTTCACTTCGTCTTTAATAATGCATACTATCGACAAGTAGATGGAATAGCTATGGGTTCACCATTAGGCCCAATGTTAGCTGACTTCTTTCTCGCAAAACTTGAAAACGGGAAATTGAAGGACATCATCAAGTTGTTTGATATGTATTACCGATATGTCGATGATACATTTATCTTAGCTGATGGGAATGTTAACATAGAGGAATTGTTGCTGAAATTCAACAACATCCACCCTTCGCTTACCTTTACTTGTGAAGAGGAGCAGCAGAACAAACTTTATTTCCTGGATGTCTTGCTAAGTAGGAGAGAAGATGAGTCACTTTGGAGAACCGTGTATAGAAAAAGCACATTCACAGGGCAATACACACACTTCCTTAGTTACGTGCCCATTAAATATAAAAGGAATGTTGTAAAATGTCTTGCGAGCAGAGCAAGAAAGATATGTACAGATGACCTCTTACAAAAGGAATTTGAATATATTCACGATTCCTTGATGGAGATGGGCTATCCGAGTAGTTTCATAAAGAAACATGTGAAAACATCAGAGAGAAAACCTGAGACTATGACTGCAGGTAAAAAACCTCTATTTATTAAGTTACAATTTAATGGTGACTTATCAAGGGAAATTCTATTCCAAAGACTTTCAAGGAGTATACGAAGAACATTTTATGCAGCACACCTATGTTTGTCATTCTCTAGCCGACGAATGATTGGGACGCAAACGAAGGATAAGCTTGATAGTTTTGCCACATCTATGTGCATTTATCAATTCAACTGCACCTGCGGTGACAGTTCTATTGTGCGTACTACTAGACAGCTTAGCCAACGTGTTAGTGTACATCTCCCATCGTGGTTTGGCAAAGGACAGACAAAAACAATTCGTAGCTCAATTTTGTCACACTTAATTGATAGTGGTTATGTAATCGAGAAAACGAGAGCCTTCAAAGTAATTCATCGTATCCCACCGAATCTTTCCAATAGACTTCGTATTCGCTTATTGCACACAGTTGAGGCTATAGGCATTCGAACTATTAAACCTAAACTGTGTATTCAAAAAAAGTTCGTACAGCCATTATCCCTCCCTTGACCTGTTAAGACATAACCAACTAATGACTTCGACACAAACCCTTTGTTTATATTTCCACCCCCTTTCTTATCATCCCTTAATCTTATCACATCTTCATTATAAACGTGTTTCATTTCCTTCCCTTACAATCTAACATTGCTTAATCGGTTCATTTGTTTTTTTTAGCCTTTATCGACTGCTTCTACCTGGAAAGTTGTTTGTTTAATCATACTGTTTTTTCATTATTCTTGTTATCACAGATTGCCTCACTTTTTCATCCTTATTATTGATAAGACCATTCTTATTATTTCTATTATGACTAATTGCACAGTTAATATGCACAATCGTATTATCCCACTGACAGAACACCATGATTGGTTTATATTTGAATTTTTATTTGTAAACTTATGTAGGTATATTAGAGTTAAGCCTGATGAGATCTAATTGAAACCACAATATTGTTCGCTTAAATGTCTTGTTCTAAATTTTATTATGTCTAATTGGCTACGATATTGCACTCTTTAACCTGTTGACAGCTAGAAAAATAGGTTTGGTTGGCTAGTATAATGAATTTTCTACAAAATTAAACCAGGGGTACTAACAACACCTAGACACGCAGACGTAAATATATATTCAAAAAGTTATTTACTCGGCTGCATAAAAAGATATGTGTGCATCGACGGTTCACATATGTTCACACTTTGATTCCTTGCCAACGCAGTACTGGAATCAAACCTGAGAAGAGTTATGGTTGCTTTGCGTGGAACTAGCAACACTAACCCGTAAAAACAGCATAAACCCTAGAGAAAGTTCAAAGCTTGTGAAGCCCTGTGCTCCACTCGAGAAGTAAAGGGATGGAGAATAAATAAATAAATAAATGAGAAGATATAATTAACATTTTTTAATTACTTTTTACATCTACAGTATAAGTCTCAAGTTTTCTTAGAGGATATTCCATTTACGAAAGTTGAATATCATATATGGTTGAGGTGAAAACTTCAACATACTGCCAACCAGCTGATTCTAACATTCCCCACATACGCTAACGTCACCTGCCGAAT